ATGCAGATCTGATAAGCATTCATGCATCATCTATCGGCAAAGTTGACGCAAACAACGCTGCAGTGCGTCATTCTATGCACTGAATGTGAATGATCAACTTTCCTCTTTGCTAGCATGAATTTACATACGGTGGCATTAATACTTTAAAATTTTAGTTTGGCGCAAATTCAGCGTACGGTAATGAAGCGTACGGCTCGGATAGCGATCTCAATAAGAAACCAATATTCGCCATCGATGAAATGCGTGAGGCAAGCAGTGATTCGGTTAGTTTCAAATCTATTTTTGAGTTTACAGTAACCAGTTTTTGGGTTTCTGATTAAACTCCCAAAGATCAATCTGGTTCTGTGACTGACCAGATCAATGGACAATGTGTGTGCACAACGCATATTGACGATTTCAGGACGATGACGATACACTGAATGTACGTGTAATGCGTAAAAACGCTTGTGTACCTCCTCATAACGTGAGCTTTTCATTTTAGAGCTGTGTGCCTTTGTAACTTTCTCAACGTGATTAGTTTACTCTTTTGTGTTCTGTCACAGAAAACATAAGCAAGATTTGAAATGAACAACTCGTAGACTTGTTGCCGAAAACGAGCTATTTGAATGATGACAGTATTCGCTTTGTTAGAGCATAATGTTAATAAAAAACTGCACTTCACTACTAGATGGCATAATCATTCACTTAGAAGTGGTCACCGAATGAACATTTTCAGATCACCACGCGTGGTAGGCTACTGGCCAGCGATAAATATTACAATTCTCAAATTGATCCGCAAAGTTTGGGACATTACTACATGGATGACGTTGAGGTGATTGCACACACTGAAGAACAGCAATCAACCGATGAGACAAGCAGCACTCATGAAAAATCGCAATCGACTTCTTGATTGTTCTCTCCGCGAATTTTGTATTTGTTCGAACTCATTGAGCATTAATATTGCATAATTTTTTGAGCCTTTTTAATAAGATAAGATTTCTTGATGGATAACATTCAGCTTGATCTGAACCTGTGGAAAGTTAATTCTCAATGAGAGATGACCATTGTGCCTCATACACTGCTACCGTGATGAGCAACGTCCGAGAGCAAGAACTAGTGTGTTTCATTCCCGGGCAGTTGTCTCCTTCGAATTTTCTGCTTTGGATCTTCTCAGCTGCGATGACGAATTATTTCCCGTAAGGATCTCCGCGCTGTTAATGCCTTAATTACTCTCCGACAATTTGGTGAGTTACCTCTCCTTCCCTCGGTTTCTTCATCCTTGGAGTCACCTCCCCCCTCTCCCCCCTCAAATCCTCCTCCACTTCATCAAAAAGCTGCTCTCCAACGGAATCCAGCAGAAATAATTATGAATGATAATTTATTTGCCTTCAATAATAATTGTATTATATTGGTTCATGTTTATAGTGTATTCTGAAGTGTTTGTAGAATTACTCACCTCTGTGATCTTTATTTAGTTAGCAAATTCAGGCAAACTAAATAAACTGTTTCATTTATTCAAAAGGCTCACAATAGTGTAGCACCGAACAAATACACTGCAATATTCCAATCGGTGTTCTCTGCTGAATGAAAATCTCAATTATTAAGGGAACTGATTTTGATGAACAATCGTAAAAGTTTCATTCATAAACATTTTACCAATCATATTTTCCGAAACATTATTTTGGTTGAATGCACTCACTGTTTTGAC